TTAATTTTGTATTAATTCTGTGTAATGTTGTAATATCAATTTAAATTAATTCTGTTTTTATTAAAAAAAAATTATTACAATTAAATTTTTTAAAATTTTTTTCATTACAATTAAATTTTTTTTTTTGAAATAAATTGTTTTTCATTTTATTTTGAAAAGTAAATATTAATTCTGAAAAGTAATTTTTTCTTTTTTAATTAACATTAATATTGATTTTTTTCTTTTATTTTCAATTTTTTTTCTAGGGTTTGAAAACCCTAGCTCTGGTAGCACAGATCGACGGCGGCTTTGACAGATTGCGATGGGCTTCACGATGGTTCAGACAGAGCTTCGCGATCGTGATGGCGACGACGACGTTGAGAGATCGCGATGGTCTAGATCGATGACGGCGTTGAGAGATCGCAATGAACTAAGGCTTTGCGGTGGTTCAGATAGAGCTTCAGGCAGAGCTTCGCGATCGCTATGACGACGACGGCGTTGAGAGATCGCGATGGTTCAGACAGAGAGACAAAGAGATAACAGAGCTTCGCAAGCTTCGCCGATGAGAGAGAGAGAGAGAGAGAGAGAGAGCTGTTCGCCGGGAATCGCCTGGGTTCGCCGGGAATCGCCTGGGCCGTTTGTGTGAGAGAGAAAAAATAAGTGATTTTGGTTTATATACCTGGCACACTTGTAATTCGATTCAAATGAGAAGGACATTTAAGTCATTTTGCCCTAAAAGTGATCAGTTGCCCGCTTAAGCTGAATTCATAAGCACTCTTTGAGCAACTTAAAGATTTAAGCCAAAAATGGCTTAAATTAAGTTATAATATGTGCCTGTAAGTTGTACCAAACACACTAATATAGCTTAATTTAAGCCAAAATTTGATTTAAGCTGAAAAAAAGTTTTACCAAACGGGAGTGATTTTGGTTTATATACCTGGTACACTTGTAATTCGATTCAAATGAGAAGGACATTTAAGTCATTTTGCCCTAAAAGTGATCAGCTGCCCGCTTAACTTGAATTCATAAGCACTCTTTGAGCAACTTAAAGATTTAAGCCAAAAATGGCTTAAATTAAGTTATAATATGTGCCTGTAAGTTGTACCAAACACACTAATATAGCTTAATTTAAGCCAAAATTTGATTTAAGCTGAAAAAAAGTTTTACCAAACGGGGCTATAATATTTTGTGATTTTTTTTTTAAATTCACCAAATACAAAAAATATAAAAATTCAATACATTATCTTATTTTGTTGTATTCAATGAAATTTTTTTTTAAAAAAAAAATTATATAAACTTTATACCTTTTAATGAAAAATTATATTCATATATAAAATTTATACAAAAAATATTATAAAAATGTTGTAATAGTGATATTGTTATAAATATAAATCATGTTTATGAATGTTTTGTTTTAAAGTGAAAAGTCACCATTAAGTTATATTATTGTGTTTAATAATTCTATATAAAATTTATATTTGTATATTATCACTTAATAAGAATATATTTAGGTAGAATTTAATAATGAAAAATTATAGAATGTAGTCATGATGATAAAAAGAATAAATTGTAAGAAAAATAATAAGATGGTTATTTAAAAAATTTTAGGACATGATATCAGTAATTTATGAAGTAATTTATAATGAGATTACAAATTTTAAGGAGAACAATATAGGCTGTGTTTGGTAAAATTTTGGAAACTTAATTCTACACCTTGGTTTGAGTGCATTGTTTGGTTACAATTTTCTAACATTGATTCCACGCCTACTTTTGAAAACATGTCTATCTAGTCATCCTCCCGGATGTCCCCCGGACGTCCAGCCGGTTGACCAGAACATTTTTTTTTGACACCTGTTATTTTTATATTTTAAATAAAAAATATTTTCGGAATTTTTTTAAAATTTTTTATAAGTTTTGCATAGAATTTTGAATTGTGTATTTGATTATGAGTTGTAAATTTTTTAATCAAATATCATATGTCATATCAAAAATTTCAAACTCTTTTTAAAACACATAACTAAATAAATTTTTCACACTCAAATCATAATTCTAAAATTTATAAACTCAAAATATAAATATATTCTCAAATTATAATTTTAAAATTCTATCAAACACTATCAAAATTTTTCGAATGTAAATAAAAAATTTATATTAAATAAAAATTTCAGAGATGTCAGTGTAATTTACTTAAGGTAAATTACACTGACACTCCCTGAGATTTATATTTATTACAGTTCCTCCTTCACCTTTTGAAAATTACATCTCTCCCCTTGAGGTTTAAAGTTTCATTACAGATTTCCCCCTCAGTAATTTAATTTTTTTAAACACCAATTTTGCCTTCACTAGGTAAATTACATTGACACCCTCACATTTTAGAAATTACAACCCCCTCCCTAAGGTTTAAAGTAGCATTACCAATTGCCCCCTCGATTAGTATTAGTTGGAAAAAAAAATACATTTGAAAAAAAAAATTAATTGAAAAAAAAAATTGTTAGTAAAATTTTTAAATTTCTGTTTAAAAACCAACGTAAGCTCATTTTTTGAATTTATGTTTTTTTTTCTCAAATTTACAAATTGAGACAACCATTTATAAACCAAAAAAATTATCAAACAAGTTTTTATGGTAGTTTTTTTTTTAATTTTTACAAATATAAATTGAAAACTGAAAACGAAATGGTTACCAAACAGGCTTCAGATGATAAAAATATCGTAAAATTAAAAAATAATTAAATAAGTTACCAATGCAAAAAATGACTTATCAAAAGATTCTTAGACTATGTATGATTTGATTTTTAGAAATTTTTTTTAAAAATTAAAAATTAATTTGGTTAAGAAATAAAAAATAAAAAAATAATTATCATTTTTACATAATTTTTATCTTTTGAGTGGTTAGAAATATTTTTTTACAAATTAAATTGAAACAGTTATATGTATGTATATAATCTGTTCAAAAATTAAAATGATAATTATTTTTTATTTTTTATTTCTTAACCAAATTAATTTTTAATTTAAAAAAAATTTAAAATCAAACCATACATACCCTAAGAATCTTTTAATAAGTCATTTCTTACGTTGGTAACTTATTTAATTATTTATTAATTTTACGACATTTTTACCATCTGAGACTTATTTGGTAACTATTTCATTTTTAATTTTCAATTTATACTTACAAAAATTTTAAAAATTGTCACAAAAACTTATTTGATAATTTTTTTGGTTTATAAACGGTTTGTCTCAGTTTGTAAATTTGAGAAAAAAACGAAAATTTAAAAAATGAGTTTACATTAATTTTTAAACAAAAATTAAAAAATTTTACTAACAAATTTTTTTTTCAATTATTTTTTTTTCAATTAATTTTTTTTCCAACTAATACTAACCGATGGAGCAATTGGTAATACTACTTTAAACCTTAGGGAGGGAATTATAATTTCTGAAATGTGATGGGTGTCAATATAATTTACCTAATGACAGCAAAATTAGTATTTAAAAAAATTAAATTGTTAAGCAGAAATCTGTAATCAAATTTTAAACCTCAAAAAAAATATAATTTTTAAAAAATAAAAGAGAAAATTATAATAAATATAAATCTCAAAGATGTCAGTGTAATATACCCATTTATTTATCTAAATTTTAAAGATTTCAAAAAATTTGGGCACTACTCGCCTCCTAACGATTGGCCGTCCCGAGTCCCGACTACAGCGGGCAACTTCGTCTTCAGAAAAGGTCACTAAATGCACAAATATAAATTTACTATTTAGTCCTCGTATCTTACCTTCTTTACTTCACTATCCCCATTTCATTGCTCTTTGTTTTTCAAATGACCCAACCCACACAGGCCTATTTCAGTAATTTAAATTCTACCTACCTTATCTGGACTTGCATACAGTGGACCCCACTTGAACTTGACCCAGGTAAGTAACGCTCGCACAGTGCCTGGATGACTGCATGGGCCGCCACGTGTCCAAAACCTGTTCGTACAGTTACAATCAGGTGCATCCCATTCCCCCCCAACCACCTTCTAGAGTTGAGATTTCCTAAATTTAAATACCCCCAACGTGTTTGGAAAGAGAGTTGACTTAAAATTATTGTTAAAAGATAAAATAAATTAAAATAATAAATAAAACAAAATATTATATTAACTTATAATCATTTTTTTATAGCCATTAAATTGACTATGATAAAAATTAATTAATTTTTCAAACACAATTATTTTAATCAAATTAAAATAATCAAAAAATCAAATAACCATAAACTTTTCAAACAAGGCCACTTAAAAGTTAAAATTATAGTCATGTTAATAGTTTGAATTGTTCATCTCATATAATAAATTAAAAAAACAGGGACCTTAAAAAAAATACCCCTTTTTTTTATAGCCATTAAATTGACTATGATAAAAATTAATTAATTTTTCAAACACAATTATTTTAATCAAATTAAAATAATCAAAAAATCAAATAACCATAAACTTTTCAAACAAGGCCACTTAAAAGTTAAAATTATAGTCATGTTAATAGTTTGAATTGTTCATCTCATATAATAAATTAAAAAAAATATGTAAATAAAAAATTAAATTATTCAGACATAAATAATGATGGTTAGTCAATTTTTAAAATATGTAGTGCATTTAAATAAAAATATTGTAATAATATAAACATTAATATCGGATCAATTTTATTTTTTTTATTAATAAATTTTTTAATTAATTATATAAAATAAATAATTTAAATTACTGAAATAAAAAAATTCAAGATTTATTTTATTATACGAGTGAAGCCTTGGGATTTTTATTTTTATTTTTATTTTTTTTATAATTATTACCGCATAATTTTTTTTTCCTTGTTTTTTCAAATGTCTTACATAAGTGTATTTTTTATATTTTTATAAAAAGATATTCAAAAAAATAAAAAAATAATATGTTAAAAAAATAAAAAAATAAATTATTTTTAGATTATCAAACTTTGCCATAATCTACTAATGAGTTAATTTCACCTGATATTTTCAATTTTAACGAATCCGAACTCATCTCTGCTCCCACTCCAGCTCCTACCCCTACCCCTAACCCTTTATATACTCCTCACTCACTCCTTCCAGTCTCCTGAAAAAAAACCCATCTCTCTCTATCTAGCTATGGCTTCCAACACCGGAGCTGACGAGCGTGACCAGAACAAGCCGGTAACCGGTTACCCATCTCAGGCTGGCCAAGTTGCCACCGGGTACCCCAGGGCGTCTCCGCTCGTCGACTCCGCCTACTTCTACTCCCCTCCGCCACCTTCCCCCTACTTCGCCGCCGTCGTCAGCCCCGCTTCCTTCTACCCCCCCCTCCGCCGCTCCAACTCCTCCTTCCTCCTCCTCCTCCGCCTCCTATCCGCTATGCTCTTCGTTTTCCTCCTCATCGGAACTATCTTCTTCATCTCCTGGTCCGTCGTCCGCCCCCGCCTCCCTGAGTTCCGCGTCTCCTCCGCCTTCGCCTCCCCCCTCAACGCCACCTCCTCCGACCTCTCCGCCACCCTCGACCTCTCCATCGTCGTCGCCAACCCTAACACCAAGTTCTGCATCCTTTACGATCGAATTGAAGCCTCTGTGTTCTACAGAGACGGGTTCTTAGTTTCGCAATCCAAATTGGCTCCTTTTCACCAGGCGAAATTGAATCAAACCCTAGTTTCTGCTCGTATGGCTATTGTTGGAGCCAATGTGGGGAACAATGTGGTCAAGGAGATTTTGGAAGATGAGAGGAATGGTACCGTGAGTTTTGGGGTTAGGGTTTTGGCTGTGGTTAGGTTTCGAAGTGGTGGTTGGCTTACCAGAAAGCGTCTCATGAGGGTTTACTGCTACGATGTCGAAATTGGGCATTCGGCTAGTGCTGGTGATGGGTCGGGGTCTCTCTTGACTCCATCTAAAGAATGTGAGGTTGACCTTTGACATATAAACTTACTGAATGTAAGGTTTTGTCAATCTTTAAATATTAAAAGCAATAAAAATAAAATCTTTCTAGTTAATAGAAAGAGGTTACATAAATTACTTTTGATCTTGTGCAACCCTGTTATTTATGTTCTTTTGCTTTTCTTGCTTATGTGGTGTTGGTGATTGTGTTTTGTTTAATCATTTGGGTCATAAATGTGGCCATTGGACATGTATGTTTTTGATTTATTCGGGTGTATTTGTAAATGGATCCTACATTTCTCAAAAATAGCATCAAATTCAACTTCAAGATTGATGATTAGGTGTTGTGGCCGGATGGATAATACGGGTGGTAACTTGCTTAAAGTTACCCGCTCAATCATATAGGATGAATTAGGGGTCTTGCACCTGCCCCTGCATAGTGGAATGCAGTTGGATGTGTAAATAGATTGCATTACAGTTTTTTGTTTCTCATTGATGATTTATTACTCTTAACATTTTTTGGGGTTTCCCCTGAATTATAGCGTCAATGTGTTGGGTTGACATGCACCATTTGTGTCTGATCGGATCGTAGTTTTTGGTTACTTCTTGTTGGGATGTGATTGTCTAACGGTTAAGGGATGCTTTTTTGAAGCATTGAATCCTATTGATGGGTTGATACTAAGAGTAGCAATCAATTAACTATAGTTTTTGGTTTCTTCTTGTCGTCTTGGTTCACATGTTATGCTGTTTTTTTCTAATTGATGTATCGGGTAATAATAAAGTGTAGTGATTAGATGGACCTCTGTTTTTGGTTTGTTAGGGTTGAGAGAATTATAACGGATTGGACGTCAAACTAGAATTCATAACGTCGGTTACCTAGTGCGGGATTTTAGGAGCCTCAGGATTTGTGGACAATTGTAAGATTCTGTGGTTGGTAATTAATAATCTTTAATAGTCGGTTACTTAGTAGGTTGGTGTCGTATTTGGAAATTCATGCAAAAGTTACGATGTCGGTAGGTGAGAAAATTTCATGCAGAGTTAGATTTCTCACTTTCTATTGTTGGTAGATAGCATCTTTCAATATTCAAGTAAAATGTTGCTTATATGTGGTGAATTTCAGTGAAGATACTTGGAAATTTAACTATGATGCTCACACTCAAATATGCGTTCACATCTCATGAACTGTTGCTAGGAGACTTTGTTTTACCCCATGGAGTATGAGTGACTCAACACTTGAAAAAGATGGAAAACCGTTGTAAAAGGAATGAACAAGTCTTACATACAGACTTGCATCCACACTTTGACCCACAGTCCATGTAATCTAAATTTCAATTTGCTTGTTTGACAACAAATTATTAAATAAGCTCAGAATGTAGTTCTCATTTCCTGTTCTTGTTTTAAAATTTGTTCATGTGGCTTTGCCTAGAACACATTACTCTATATTGGGTGACCTATATCATTTTGCAACCTATTGAATTCTAGTTTGTAATCTCTCACTTCTAGGACATTCTTAGTTTACTGCCAAAATATTCTTTAGTGGTTCTAGGGCTTCTCTTGTGCGTTTCTATGTGTTTGGCTGATGACCAAGGGTTGCAGGTATTTGGATTATAAATTTTATTCATGAAAGATGCAACAATTTATAGTGATGTTTTTAGGAAGCAATGAACTTCTACATGTTGGGGTTTAATAGTATAGTGTTTTGTTTGTTCTAGTAATAGTATTGAGTAAAGATTCAGGGGATCTCTAAAACCAGTTTGACATTCTGTGTGATATGGGAGGGCCCTATGTACACGGACAGCAGGTGGCCACACTAGGACCTCCCGTAAGAGTTTGAGACTCAAATTTGCTTCTTAAGGAATTTTTGACTTTTTGGTTACCTAGTCTGTGGTTTTTAAATTTAACTATATTGATTTTGTGTTTTTCTCAATATTCAATATGTATTTTATCTTCTATTTATTTTTCCTTTATTTTTTATTTTTATTTTTATTTTTTTTCTCTTTCTTTTTGACATTCTGTTGGGTTGAAAATGAAGTGCTGCAATCAGTTTTATAAATGGGATGATAGAAATAAAGATTTAGCATATCTAGTGATCAGTTCTATTCTTCTTATGTTTCCTCTTATTGTGGGGATATTTTATAGACTTGGTGCCATTCATCATGTCGGGTTAGGAAAGGGGTCAAACAATGCATATCAAGCTCTTCAACACCCTCCTTCATGTACGATATTGTCTTGCATGTGGAGATGAAAACATTCAAACATGCACAGAAACATAATTCAAATGGGGAAACAAACGTAAACGGAGAAATATACACCCAAGACATCTCCTACCTGGAGCTCATATACCATATTATAGCGTCACTAATTCTAAAGTATTAAGTTGTTAGGAAAGGAACCCAACAATAACAGGGTATATATTGACTGCTAGTGTCCTATGGATCTCTTGATGGTTGCATAATAAATAGAGGTCATTTTTTTCTTCTTGTAGTTTTAGCACGTGGGGAATCTTGTGGATAATTTTCTTTTCTTTACGAGTAAAATGAACAATATTCAGACTGCTAGTTAATTTAATGCCTTTTGCTCTCTGTTTCAGTGAAGTTTATGAATAAAATTATCTGCAAATTATTGGCTCATTCACTGGCCCAGGTTATACTATAGGGAAGTTTGAAAGTAGCTAGAGGCAGGTTTCTAATGATAACATATGTGGAGAATCTAAGCTAGAATTGTTAACGATCAAGAACATCATATGATATCAACATATAAACACATTTTGATAAATAAATAAAAAAATGACAAAATGATCTAATATAGCTATATATTAGTGATCAACAATCTAATAGAAAATGTTATTTTCAATAACAAATGATGAAATTTTAATGTTAAGTGTCAGCAATAAATAGGAACAGCGATTATTTAAACTATATTATTCTTGTGAAGGGAAGCTGAGATGAATGGCTTTGTAAATGCACTTATCAATGACAGCTCTACATTGATGGACCATGCTAATGAGACTTGGAGTATTCCTGCAATCTGTATCATCTAAGAGAAAGACGGAAACAGCAAGAGTTTAGTATCCATGCTTCAGTTGTGCGTTCATGAAATGCAGAGATATGGGATAGTTTTTACTAAAGCGTAGAGCACAAAATCAAACTCCTTGTTACTTGTGTTGCTTGACCGAGTATTAATCATTCTTGATTGTGAACGATAGACTATTCATTTTATCACTAACAGGTTGGGATGATCGACAGTACTATAGGACAGTAATGTGCGTGAATTTCATGTTTGCGGGGAATAATAGATATGAAGGTGTAGTTTTGTGCTTTTTTATGAGAATCTTTCTTAATAACAGGAAACATTTTTTTTCCTCCTTGAGAGTTCAAAATGTGAATAGGCTTTGGCTTGCTGTTATGTCCGAGTGTTTTCACTTCTATGGTAACATATGAAAATGCCTCTTTTATGTTTCACTTTGGAGCCTTCTTTTCGAGTAGTTTTCAAAAATGAATTCGTAATCAATCTATGTGGAGTTTCACTTAGACACTTGCACAGCTCTAGATGAAGTCTAGATTAATCAGAACATTTGTCTGTATTAATGTACAGAATGAACCATGTTCAACAAGATCAAGTGTTGAAGCTAGAGTAAATAATACAAGCATGCAAGATGGAATCCTACCTATGATTTTACAGCTGGATGGCATGGATCTCATGATAGGTAAAGTCAGCATGGCCATATACTGATTCTGTTGTTTAGTTTCACTGATTGCTAGTTTCGTTTATGCCTCACTTGTAAGGGAGTTGATTATGCTGCTTTGTAAATATTTTCTACTAGCAGGCTTTCTGGTAGGTAGTTGCTCCTGTCAAGTTTCACCTGCTTACGGTGTACATGTCGATGCTTACATTGAGGGAATTAATTTGACTGAGTGAAAGCATTCTTGGCCTCATCTTCCTCACCTCGTATATCATGTCAGCCCCTTAGGTAAATCCTCTTTTCAATTTCATGTTGTTTCCAATCTCTTGTTCAGGGCTGCACTAAGGGGAAGAATATCATAATTGTGTTATATTTCTTTCTTTTTATGTATATACATAATATTTATTTATTCATTGATGTGTTCATAATCTCATTGCGTAAGAGAGAGGCAATTATTTTCCTATTCATCTACTGATGGAAGTAAAATAATTTTGGAAATTTAGTCTCTTCTTACAATCATAAAATATTGAACAATGCCTAGGTGCGCAGAATGCACAACCTTCTCACATCATGTGGGTCCCACATGTGAGAGGGTTGTACATTCTTGTGCACCAAAACCTATGTGAACTTAGCATTTCTTTAATAAAATATTTTGTCTTTTTTACTATTCATAAACTTTGCTGCACTAGTTAATTAATGACTGTTAAAATCTTAGCACTTAATTGCACAATTAGCCTTGAAACAGACTTATTTTAGTGCCTTATGCATTTGGTAGCTTGTAAGTTAAACTGATCATCTCCATAATGTGATTTTCTTTAAACTAAATACTCAAAAATCACTCCTAATGATAGACTATATGTGATTTGTTGTGAATGTCATTTTAAAAATCTACTTGCGTCAAATATAAAACTCGTGGATTGGAAGAAGCTTTTAAGTCTCATTAACTAGGGTATTTTCGTAGTGTTTGCATGTAATTTAGCAATTATTTCATGTATTAAAACTATATATTTCATTCCATCCCTTAAGCTCTAGGGCACAATTCTGGAACAACTTAAAAGCAAGGAGCTGCTATGCCACATTTGGTTGCAACAATGGTATTTTTCTCTGTTTATGTTCCTCCTCTTTTTTTTTTCTTTTTTTTTTAAAAAAATTATTTATTTGTTTATTTTATCTGACATTCCAGGTTCAGATGTAGCTTTGAAGAACAATCCTTCACCTCTACTCATTGTGATGACTTATTGTCTCGAGGTAGCACTGTTTCTTGGGTCAGGTCAATGGAAACTTTAATTACTTTGAAAGTGATTGTTTCAAATTAAGGAAAAGTGTTAGCTGTGTGTGAGATCAGATTTCTTGTTTAAGTTGCTTTCAGATGAAAATGCTTGACAAAACTCTGGTTGCGTTTCCATTTATGGATTTGAAATGAATATATTTGGCTGCATTCATTCTAGGGCTAGTATGACCTTAATGGATGGGAGAGTTTTAGAATAACGGATTTGAAATAATTAACTTGGTGAATATAGTTATTTGAAATTTTCCATGAATGATTCTAAAATATTAATAAAATGCATCTCTCTATCTCTGTCATAATTATCAATCCACATATCCAAACGGAGCCTAAGAAATTAAAAATTTATTCCAAATCTAAAGAGTTGCCTTGTGTGATGCAATTGGACAAGGTTTACCTTAATGGAGATGATCTATGGTGCTTTTTCTAATCACCCTCTAATTTGTAATCATTTGATATAGTTAATATTAACCACACTTTGCATGTGCATCAAAGATTACTTATTTTAAAAACTTAACTTTCCAATGGCAAGATTTTCACCAATACGGGTTTCAAGAGGAATGGTCTAACGAGGGTTGGAGTTGTTTTTTCTTTTCTTCTTTGGCAAACGAAAAGAATTTCATTCATTAAAAAGAAATATAACATAGTACATAGTGAGTATATAAAGAAGAATTGAAAGAAGAAAATAATTTCATTCATTAAAAAGAATATAACATGGTACATAGTATAAGCGAGTATATAAAAAAGAATTATGCTAGACAAGCGAGAAGAGATATTCCTTAAGATTATATACCAAGAAAATGACAAACAAAATCTCTTAAAAACAAAAAATTGAATGAATTCTGGTGTCCTACTCCTTCGTCCTTTTGCATTGCATCGTTTGACATCATAGCTTGTGGAAACTAGAGAAAATAACAATTTAATGCTATAGACTAAAAGTAATTACAGAGGGGGTTGGGGGGTACAATTCTTCCTGTGCGCAACTCTCCTCTCTATGCATGTACAAGAAGAGTTGCACCCCATGATTGTGTAATTATTTTTAGAGAAAAGTTAGGGATCATGAAAAAAATTTTATGAAAATGATCATGAAAAATTTATGATCCTTGGATTATCTTGATTAGTGTGTGATGCTTTATTCTAAGTGTAATCCAAGGATCACAAAGATTTCATGATTATTTTCATGAAAGATTTTTCATGATACCTAGCATTGCTGTTATTTTTAATCTATTATTAAATTGTAATTCCTGCAAGCAGCTAAATGGTTTTAACCCCCAAATTGGCATAATTGGAAACTTGTTTGTTTGTTTGTTTGTTTAATAATCAGCTTTTTTTGGATATTGCTTTATGTAAGCTTTGTTTGTTTATAGTTAATAATCAGATTTTTTTGGATCTTGATTGATGTACAGATACTTCCATATTGATTCCACGGATAGTTTTCTTTCATTTTCCATGCCTTTCTTTTCACAACCTCATCTTTTCATATTGGAGTTTTCTCTGTAAGAATCTTCCTGTAGCTTTCTCCATGCTTTATTCCTACCACTAACTGGATTTCGTCTTTCACTAACAAATTTTCTTTTCTTTCCTTCTATTGGATCCAGATCCTCTGCAGTGGTGCTGGAGAGAACTTCCCTCCAATCATGGCCATTAATTACAGTTTGACCCCAATATTTCTTACTATCTTCACAAAGTTCAAAATTCTTTTATATTTTTTTGAAAACAAATATTTGTCCGTACCTTTTATATTTATATTTTTGTTTTTGTTTTTGTTTTTAAATTTATTATTATTATTAAATTTATTTATTTTTTATACTCAAGATATTAATGTAAAATTTCTTGAGTTATTCTATTTACTCTTTTTATTGTAAATTCTACATCTATTTTATTTGTTAAATTATTTAGTTTTACATAGTAGAATAAGTGACTAATCCTTGAGAAAGTAGGTATTGCAATTTTATAACTTTTGATGTTGACTAGGTAATTAATTTTGGCCCTTGGATTGTGTCTATGATGTTGTGGCTGTGGGTAAGTGTGGCCTAGGAAGATGACTGGAGGGAGGAATCTGTTTTGGACAAATTGTTTTTTGATTTCATATAATTTTTTTGATATCTATCCATATAAAAATTGTCCAAAGCGGTTTTGAGTGTTTACTTCCACCAAAAAACCAAAAAAAGAAAAACGTTGTTTCGCTTTTTAGATTGATTGAAAATCAATTTATTCACTTCATTTTCTTTTTTGAAATTTCAAATTCAATATTAATTTTATTTCAAAGATCTCGAAAAGACGAATTTATAAATCTCAATTTTGTTAAAAAATAGATTTGTAGAATTTAAAATTTGAAATTTCAAACTTTTTTAATACAAAATAAACATAAAGATAAATCTATCTAACAAAAAATTTATAACCTTACGATATTAAGAATTGAACACTTAAAATAATTATCAAATAAATTTAAAAATTAAATTTATGACCTAAGTCTTTATAACTTAAGGCAAATATTAACAAGATTCATCAAAATAAACTTAAAATAATAAAAAATCACAAAAGAAAATGGGTAAATTATAAATACACCCTTTGAAATTTGATTAAAATACAAATCACCACTTTAGTTTTGAAAATTATATTCAATCCCCTGAAATTTTTAATTTCATAACAAATCTTCTATCTTATTAATAAATCATCAAGTCAATTAATAATTTTTAATGATGTTATAATATATTTTAATTAATAATTGAGATAATTTTATTTTTATATAAGAGAGTAATTATGAATTTTTTTAAAATTAATTTTGTTATATAAATTTTTTTAATAAAGAGATATTTATAAATTTTTAAATTATAAGAGATAATTTATATTTAAAAAAAATTTCAAGGTGTATTCACAATTTACCAAAAGAAAACTAAAGGGCCTGAGAGGCTCAAGCTTCGAGGATGATGTTGTATGGACTTTTATGAGTATACAACAATATGTAGGGGATATAATGATATGATAATCGACTCAAATGTCAGACCAAGAAAAGCAAACCTTTTGGTTGCCTGTCCCTACTGAAATTCTGCCTACGATGGATTGGTTTTTTAGTTTTTATATTTTTTTAGTTATTTTAATATAGAGTTAAAAAATTTTGTTTGGAAATTTTTTTGATTTTTTGTGAGAAAAATAATTTAATAATTATAGATTAGATATGACATTTTGTCTTATTAAATCAAAAAACTTATGTTATTTTTTGTGTCTAAAATAACTAAAAAATTTTTTAATTTTTACTTCCCAAACGAAGTCTATGTTATGTTTGACAATATAAGTAGTTCATCATTTTATTATTATTATTATTATTATTACTATTGTATTAATTTAATTAAGTACAACATTCATGTTTGTGAATAATACAATAATAACACATTATATTGATCACAATTAGGGGTGTAAATTTGGCCCGATCCTCCCATTCAGGTCCAAGCTCGGGCAGGTCCGTGTCATGCCACGTGGGCTCTCGTTAAAATTCGGGCCTAACTAGGCCGGCCCACAAGTTAAAAAATTAGGCTCAGACTCAGGTTTAGGAGATATTTGGGCCTTGGAAGACCCTCGAGCCGAGCCAAAAGGCCTGGGCTAAGGCTTGGGCCGGGCCTGAACAATTTTTTTATTTTTTTTTTTCTATTTTTTCCACCAAAATTTTATTCTTTTCCACAAAAAATGACACTGGGTCTCAAGTCGGGTTTTGAGCAGGCCTTGAACGGGCTAATAGACTGGCCCAAGTTGGCTGGGCTTCAAAATGACGGCGTAGGCCCAGGACTAGGCTCGGGCCGCTCACGAGTCGCGTGCCATTTTTACACGCTTAGTCACAACACAATAAGAAAAATAGAATTATTATAATATTATTATTGATGAAAATATATAGAAGGATATAGGCAAATATGAACAAGTGTCGATTGTTTAACGTTAGGATTAGTGTAAAAAGTGTGTTAAAAATGGTGAAAAAGTATTTTAATATGAATGAAAAATATTATAAAACTAATGAAAAGTGTATTGAATTCTACACTTATTTGGTCTTTTTTGTGTACTCTCAGGACACTTGTTAACAAGTAAAGTTGAGTAATGAATCCGTTAAATCTGCAAACCGATCCGGTCTAGTCCAATTCAATAGGTTTGGATTGATCTTTTGAATCCGTAGTTGGGTTCTGAATTATGAAATTGAGGAATCGTGTTTCGCGGATCCGTTCCGGATTACACTTCACAGTTTCGGCTTAAACTGATCTAAATCTTATACAAATTAAACTATATTCATATCATAGACCCACATACATGCTGTCCTATCTCTTATATATATAATAAAACCAAAACCCTATTGTGGAACTAAAGCATTGATATGTTGCTACTTTTTTTTTTTTTTCCTTTAACTCTATTTGGGCATGAGTTAGCCTTGAACTCTGCTCGTTGCTGCTATTATGAAACTATGTTGCTGCTATTGTGGAATTATATATACCGTTATGTTTATGTTTCGAAAAATTATGAAATGAAAATGTTATATGATTTTTCTTTATTAATAGATTATGTGAATTCGTGATTCTAAATTGAACCAAATTGTGTTTAACTGGTTTGATTTGGATTGATTTCATGATTTAAATAGATTGGATTGATTTCAATTTTTATGGAACTGTAAACAACGAATTGATCCTAACTTTATTCCAAACCGAACTAATTCGAATCATCACCGCTATTAACAAGACCCAATGATACATTAGGATCTTGCTACTATCACTACAAGAAAAGTGACTTTAAAACACGAAACTTTTTGGGACGGCGTGTATCCCGTCGCAAAAAGTGATAGTTTGCAACGGCATTTGAAGTCGTCTCAAATAAATGTCTTCTGCGACAGTAATCACCCCGTCGCTAATAAGCATAGAAGAAAAAGTGCCGTAAACACGGAAGTATTCACGACGTATTGTGTGCCGTTGCAAAAATAAATTCTTTTGAGACGGGTGAAATTTACCGTTGCAAATAGTGGGCATTTGTGACGGCAATTCTCTATCACAAAAAAACCCTTATTAAAACGGCGTCATTTTAATAAATGGATTTTATCATTTGTGACGGTTTATCTATATCGTCGCAAAAGGTACTGAAGTATTCATCTCCCTCCTTTAGCCCAATTGGTGCTTGATCAAAACCCCCAAAATTTCATCCCAAATCCCTAACACCATTCTCCTTCACAATCACAGAGATTTCAAGTTCTCAATCTCAGAGACGAGTTCGAGTTCGAGTTCGAGTTTGAGTTCGTGTTCGTGTTCGTGTTCACTGACGATCACAGAGATTTCAAGTTCCCAATCACAAAGATTTTGATTGTTCACCAACGATCTCTCTGTCGACAAGCGACAACGGCTAGCGATAGTGCGGCGACGGCATGTTACGATCCCTCTCTCTTGCGCGAGCTCAGTCAGTATGCTCACACACACACACACACACACACACTGATATATATATATATACATATTATTCTTCCCCTGTATGCCGATAAACTTTCTGATAAACTTTCTGTTTATGTTCAATGTTGAAATAAATGTATGTTGATTTGTATATCCAAGTATGAGTTAACATTGCTTCATCTAAAGACTATAATCATCAGAAATGATTTTTCATTTTGTTTATTAAAACTGTGATTTTAAAACTGCGATTTTAAAACTCTGATAAACTTTTTGTTAGATTTTATTACGATTCTACGGGTTAGATCTTAAAGTAGGGCGACAGAAAAAAGGGGTTTATTATGAATATTCAGTGATCAGCCTTTTTTACAGTTGTTAATCACCTATTTTCATGAACTAAAATTTTATATTTACCACCAAAAATTGAGAGGAGTTCGACCGCCTAGGCACGAAAGACTTGTGGAAGAAGACGGGGCTTGAATCAAGTTCCCGGTTTGGGAGTTAGAGTCGGATATCACTTTAGGCAAACTAGTTCCTTAAGAAACTTGAATTCGAGTTGTTGACGCCCCAAAATTACCAAACGACGTCGGTTTAGCACGAAACTTGGCACACACGACCGCCTAGACACGAGAGACTTATGGGAGAAGACGGGACTCCAATCGGGTTCTCGGTTTAGGAGTTAGAGCCGTATTTTGGTCTAAGCAAACTAGTTCTTTAATAAACTTGAATTCGAAGTGTTGATGCCCCAAAATCACCAAACAACGTCGGTTTAGCACGAAACCTGGCACACACGATCGCCTAGGCACGAGAGACTTGTGGGAGAAAATGAGACTCCAATTGGGTTCCCGGTTTGGGAATTAGAGCCATATTTCGGTCTAGGCAAACTAGGTCCTTAAGAAACTTGAATTCGAGGTGTTGACGCCCTAAAATAACCAAACAGGGTCGGATTGGCACAAAACTTGGCACACACGGCCGCCTAGGCATGAGAGACTTGTGGGAGAAAACGAGGCTCGAATCGGGTTCCCGATTTAGGAGTTAGAGTCAGATATCACTCTAGGCAAACTAATTCCTTAAGAAACTTGAATTCGAGATGTTGACGCCCTAAAATCACCAAACGGTGTCGGTTTAGCACGAAACTTGGCACACACGACCGTCTAGGCACGAGAGACTTGTAGGAGAAGACAGGACTACAATCGGGTTCCTAATTTGGGAGTTAGAGCCTGTAGACGTCCCCGAACGCCCCGGGGAGGAACGAGTCCCCCGTTCCGTTCGATATTGGGCTCACTACAGTTCGGACTCTCAATTTGTCACGGTTCTAAATCTGAACCA